TTCTCCGCCTACCTTCGGGGCAGCCGTTTCCATTCACTGGATGAGCTGGCACTCGAGGCTCGCCGCATTCAAGGTGACATTCTTGCGGCTCGAGTTTACCGGCCCCCACCCCCACCGACGGCATCTCTTGAGCGGCGGTGCGCGTGGAATGGCGACACTGTCGCTCCCCATTCCCGCCGGGCCGAGGCCTCCATGGCATATGCCGACGCCCGGGGTCGAGACGCACGAGATTTCTGATCGGACGCTTGATCCCTACTCCTACGGGTTGCGAAGAACTGCTGCCAAATCGCAGTCGGGCCCACACAGTCAGGACCGCATTGTGGGTCCTAGACGCGGGGAGAGGCGACCTCGAAACGAGCCTTTCGCTCCGAACGAGAGGAGGAATTCCCTGAGACCTGCCGGACGGAACCCTTTGGCTCCCGAAATTCGATGCTATCGATGTGACCGCATTGGTCACTTGGCTCGAAACTGCACGAATCCACAGGCATCGGGAAACGGGCCAAGCCGCCGCTAACAATGCCGGCGGCTTTACGGAACGCTGGAGCACCTGGTTCTGCTCTAGCGCCGTCGGTGCACCGGGCCGATGGTTTGTCCGGTGCGCCCGCCCCGTTCCTGGTCTTGACGATCGCTGGCCGAACGTTTAAGGCTCTCCTGGACTCCGGAGCCAGTGCTTCGTTGTTCGGTGAGGATGTGTTGGCGCACCTCCGGACCCATTATGTCCTATTGAGAGAGTGTAACACGGCATTTCGGCTCGCAGCGGGGGGCACTACTCTTTCAAGCGGCTCCGTGCGGCTGGTTGTACGCTGGGACAATCGGGTGAGGCGACATCGCTTTGTGCACCTCCCTGGTCTTTCTGTGCCGGTAATTTTGGGTCGAGACTTCTTGGCTCAGACTGGCATAGTCATTGATCTCGGCAACGCTGGCTATCGTGAAGGCGCTTTCGGCTCTGTCAAGCCGTTTGCCGAGCCCCCCGCCGCCGCTCCGGCCTCTTTCCCGTTGAGCAGCCGCAACAACCGCGGCGAAGCGGGAGACGCTGTTTCCCGGAAACCGGTTGTGGACCCTGCGGTCGCGCGCCCCCCTCTTTTGGGAGCGAGCGCCGCCGCGGCGTCTTGAGTAGCCACCCACCCACTAATTGCTGGTCCTTGCGGTTTGGGGAGGCGCGACAAGGCTCGTCTTGCGTCGTTGTTGTACCCTTACGACTCGATGTTCACGGATCGTCCGGGCTGCGCCGATTCAGTGCGGCATCGGATTGACACGGGTGAGGCCCCTGCTTGGAAGTGCCATCCCCGTCCCGTGAGTTTGGCCAAACGAAAGGCCATTGACGCTGCCTTGGACGAGATGATTGACACCGGCGTTGTCCGGTCGTCGGAGAGCCTATGGAGGTTCCCCGTCGTTCTCATCCCGAAAAAGGACGGCAGCCCGCGCCTGTGCGTGGACTACCGCAAGCTGAATGAGGTCTCTCGCAAGGACACTTATCCGTTCCAAAGCATTGACTCGATCATATCCAACCTGGGCGGAGCTAGATATTTCACTACGCCCGACGCCAGCAGAGGGTACCTGCAGGTTCGAATGGAACCTGGTGACGAAGAAAAGACCGCATTTGTTTGTTACCGTGAGCTTTTCGAGTTTACTCGGATGCCCTTTGTCCTAGCTGGAGCTCCTATGACGTTCCAACGGCTAATGGACAATGTCTTAAGCAATGCCTGATTGTCGCATGCAATGGCTTACCTAGAGGACATCGTCGTGTACTCCGACACCTTCGAGGACCACTTACGTCACTTGAAGGATGTTCTCGAGAAGCTGCGGGCTGCGGGGATCACACTGATCCCAAACAAAGCCCAAATCGCTGAGACCCGTATCTCCTTACTGGGTTTCGTGATCGACAACGGGCGCGTTGCGCCCTGCCCGGAAAAGATCCAGTCTATTCTGGAGTATCCGAGGCCGTCTGATGTCAGCTCTCTGCGCCACTATCTCGGACTGATGAATTGTTATCGTCACTTTATTCCGGGATGTGCGGCCTTCCAGGCACCTCTCGCTCGTTTGTTGAGGAAGTCTGAGAGATGGAGGTGGCGTTCCGAGCAGGAGGCGGCTTTCATTCGTCTTTCCAACGCTCTGGTTGACACAGCCAACTTAAGGCTGCCCGACCTGAACCGGCCGTTCGTTATTCAGACAGACGCCAGCAATCTGGGTCTTGGGGCAGTTTTGCTCCAGGAACACGAAGCCGAGCTCCGACCGGTGGCCTTTGCCAGTCGATCGTTGACGCCGGCAGAGGTCAACTACAGCACCACGGAGAAGGAGTACCTGGCGATCATTTTTGCCCTGTCCAAGTTCGACATGTTTGTCGATGGAACCACCTTTGTGGTAGAAACGGACCATATGGCACTTGTGTGGTTGCAAAGGCTTCGCGAGCCCTCTGGCCGCCTAGCAAGGGGGGCCTTGACGTTGCAGCGGTATATGTGGTGCGCTACAGGAAGGGGAGCTCGAATGTCGTGGCGGGCGCCATGTCGCGTGCCCCCGTTTCTTGCCCGAACCCTCCCGCGTCCGACGCCACGGCTCAGCACGTAGCGCCGTTGGTGCCGCGTGAAGCCGAAAGCCAGTCCCGAAAGGAGGCGATTCCGCCACATTCCTCGGACGAAATCGTGAACCACCTAAACCTTATTAGTTCGGTGGGGATTGCGTTCAGCAGAGAAGAGCTCCTCAAAGCTCAGCAGGGTGATCCTTTGTGTCGAGAGATGATCGACGAGCTCAAGAAAGAGCTGGACTCCGCGGAGTCGGACGGCGCGGCCGTCGGGCGAATAGCAGCTGGTAGTGCTGTGGAAAACGCCGAGCACCGAGAAACTGCTGGTATTGCAGTTGGTGCGTTGGATTCATACCTGCTTGACGCTGACGGACTCCCGCTGCGGTACATACCATCCGAAAACGACACTAACGCGTTCAAAATGGTCGTATCCCGCAGTCTTAAGGGCGCACTTATTCGCTTTTATCATGACACGCCCCTGGGAGGGCACGCGAGTGGCCCCAAGACTTATTTCAAGTTGTGTCACTTCGCCACCTGGCTGGGCATGAAGCGCGACGTACTTCAGTATGCGCGTTCGTGTCACCTGTGCCAGAGCCTCAAGCCACGAGGCGGCAAACCCCCGGGCCTCCTGCAGCCAGTTCAATGCCAGCAATCCTGGTCTCTGGTGGCGTGCGATCTGGTCGGGCCCTTTCCTAAAAGCCCGAAAGGACACCAGCCTTTGCTGGTCGTCACCGACCACTTCAGTAAATGGGTAGAGCTTTTTTCCTCTGCGCAAACTGACGGCCCGGGCAGTGCTGGACAAGCTGATGGAGGTGTTTTCCCGTTTGGGATTTCCTCAAGCTTTGATTTCTGACAATGCCAGCATCTTCACGGCAAATGTATTCGCCGATTCCTGTGCAGCCCTTGGCATAAAGCACAAAAGGCCGACGACGTACCACCCCCACTCGAACATCACCGAGCGTCTCAATCGCAACCTGAAGCCTATGCTTGCAGCGTATGTGGAACGACACCGGGATTGGGATGCCTATCTACCCGAGATCGGGTTTGCACTCCGCTCCACGGTGAAGAGATCGACAGGTTTCAGCCCTGCTCTCCTCAATTTTGGGAGGGAGCTGCCGAACCCTATAGATCGGGTCTTGGCGGCTACAAGCGACGGGGGCGGCGCGCAGCCAGCCAATGCTGACTACGCCCGGCGGTTGCAAACGCGGATGGAGACGGCCCTGTCGAAATCCCGCCAAAATCTGTGCGCAGCCAGAGCCAGTCAGAAGGCTCAGTACGACCGTTCACACCGGAATCTCCGCTATCAAGTGGGCGATCTGGTCTCAGTCGAACGCACGTCTTGAGCAACGCAAGCAAAGCCTTTTCTGCTGCGCTGGCACCGAAATGGTCGGGCCCCTACCGAGTAAAAGAGATTGTTTCTCCTCTCGTGTATTGACTGACGGACCTGCAATCCAGAGACGCTGGCGGGCCGGTGCACGTCGGCGATCTCAAACCCTACATTAGCAGGGATGAGACGGCCGAGAAAACGTGTCGCATTCGACAGCAGACACGCACGAGGAGTCCCCGTGACGGCCCCTCTGGGGCACAGCCGCGCTACAACCTGCGGAGTTTTCCGTCCTAATGTCCGAATAACTTCGTATGACTGAGGCCATAGTGCTGGCTATGTCGTCTGCCTAAGCCGCTTATAGCAACGGACGGTTTTCCTGGGCTAGAAGGCCGGATAATCTGGGCAGCTTCCGCGTCTGCTGGTGGGGTGAGCTCTGTACTTTTTCTCAGAAATTCTCCCCCCTGGACTCCGCCGCAGAGCAGACCCTAGTTGGTTTACTTTGCGTGTGGACAGGGAAGAACAAATGGCTTTTCTTTGTGTGTCTCCTGCCCTTCCTTGTCGGCGGTAGAAGACAGACCCCAGCCATGTCGTTCGCGCTTTCGGAATGACTTCTTCCCGGCTCGACAGACAAACCGCCGGAGTGTTTGGGGGTGCCGTCAGGTCTGAGCCGCTTTTGCGCAAGGTCCATCATGCAGGCGCGCGGCAGTGGCCTGGAATGCCGCTGTTCCCGCTCTGGTGGAGCGGGACGGGTGAACCAGGCGGAAGTGCTTTCCCCTTTTGGGGAAGCTTGCCCCCTCAACTCGCAGAGGAGGCGTCTTTTCGTCGCGTTTGCTCTCCGCCGCCCGAAAAGAGGCTCGAGCGGCATGGCCTAGCTTTGCCTTGCTGCTCGCCTGACGGTGGGCCACCAAGGTATTTATGTGGCTCCTGTCGGTTCTGGACCCCGTTTGGAGACAGCAACTTTTCCCCCGTTGGACTTGCGTCGGTCCGCGGGCTCGTCGTTTCCGTTTTGAGAGGGCTTGAAGCCTGGCCGACCAGGACCTTCCTCGCCCGCTCCGTGACACCTGATACTCGCGGAGCGGAGCGGCCAGGGATGGCGGGCCACTTAGTGACTCTGGAGGTGACCCGTCCCATTGGAGGGGTTCGCCAGAAGCCACCATGTCGCCGACCGCGAAGCACACAGGGTCATCGTCGTCAACATCTTCGCCGTCTTCGCCGTCGGGCACTCGGGCCGGGGGTCAGTGTCGCCGGGATCGCCGTGGCGGGCCGAGAAGGAAGCGGTCGCCGCCGTCGTCTGTGTCCCGGGCTGGAGATTGACTTGGGCGCCGTCGCCGGGATCGTCGTGGCGGCCCCGGGCAAAATCGGATCCTGGGGAGCGGACGGGGCTTGCCTGCCCACGTTCAGTAACTCCAGTCGGGCTCTCTGTGGCCACCTGGACCTCCCAGTACGCCACGGAGCCCCCTCGGTTCTACGTCTCAAGAAAGCCCTGGGGGGACCAGAGACTACTGGAGCCGGGGCAAGCACTCGACCGCGTCCCTTGGCCGTTCCGGGGCGGCACGGACAGCGAGATGGACACCCGAGCGCGCGGTGCCTGCCTCCCATCTCGGTCGGGAGACATCTTTTGCCGTGTCTGCGGCGGTCTGCTTCTTCACGGCGACGGGCGCGACCGGTCGGTGTTCCACCGGAGCCGGGCCAACGGCGGGGACAGCGACATCATCGGGTCACGGCGCGTGGACGTCCCGGCGGAACACCCGGACGCCATCCGCTGCTTCGGTGCTCGGCTGGCCGGGGACCCTGTGTTTGCTGCCGCCGCCCTGGCAGCGGCCGGGCTGCAAGGGGTGGCTGTTCCTGCCCCTGCGACTGTGCCACCGAGATCGCCAGCGCCGCCCACCGAGGACCAGGCCGGGCCCAGCGGACTCCAGGACCTGATCGACGTGGATGTTGACCTCGACCTGTTTTGACCTGGAGGCCGCTGGGCAGAGATGACGACTTCGAGCCCCTTTGAGCTCGGGTAAGCCTGCTGTTCCTTTTTTTTTATCAAAGCCGGTGGGCCTCCCTCTTACATTGGGGAGGCGTACCAAGCGTTTTAAGGAGGGGGGATCTGGGGACCGTTGGTCGCCCTTCCCCGATGGCCGGTATAACGGCCGTGGTTCGGGACGCGCGGCCTGGTTGCCGTGAGTTCCAACCTGTTCGTGAAGCGTAGGAGAGCCGCCAGGCTTTGGGGGCTCTTCTCCTCACTCTCCCCCGGGGGGACCTTTTTCCGTCCCCTCGCTCATCCGGGAACCTGGTTATTTTGGGTGAGGATGACGCCCGCGGGGGGAGGAGGTGGACGCGCGTTCCTGACTTAGGGAACGTGGGGGACTCCTCCCGCGGATGCGATAGAGATCGAACGTGTCGCGAAGGGCCTCCTTTGCCCGCTCTCGGGACGGTGTCGACAGGGTGAGCCTTTCATCTGACCTTGTCTGCGCGGGGATTTTGGGGACAGTGTGTTTTTTGGTCTTCCAATAAACACCGTTGGGCCCAGTCCTATTGTGGTACGTGCTCCTCCTCTTTAGAGAAGCGATCAGTTGTGCGGCTCACGTTCGGACCCGCCCGTAGCAGTGTTCTCAAGAGAAAGCTGCGGGGTGTGGGAGTACGCTCGGCGTCTCCCGATGAGAGACCGCCGCTGAACCCTTCGGTTACCACCACCCGTGACCATCCCACAAGGTTCATTGCATTTGTCCATAACAAGGGAACGGTTTGATTTGAGGGAAGCGCTATGTTGTGACGTAATCACTCACGGGGTCAGTGGTCAGATGTCTATATTTTCCATATATAGTTATTATAATGTACGCTAGAAATTCAAATGAAGCTAGTGTCTATGCGACTTCCGGACGCAATTTGAATCAGACAGCAAGGAGTATATTTTTCCGGTTTCTTTGTGCATTCCAATGGGAAAACGCGCGTGCATTTTCTCTCTTCACCGGAAAATAACATGGAATATTTTTTTTGTGTAGTATTGAATAATATGTACCTTTATGGAAGGTTTGTGCTCGCAACTAACTGGTAGTGCCATCTGCCGACGTGCCATCGATTTGGAGAGATCTGGGCTGTGCTCAGCGGGGTACACCCCTCACTGCTTGCAGCCGTGGAGTCGTGTTTGCCGTGTATTTTGCTGTAAACCCATGTAAATAATTTAAACGTTTGATCAACTTATGCATAACATCGTGTCAGAGACTTTCTCTAAAGCTAAGTTCAGCCTCACGTATCGTTAGGCGAGACGCTCGGCAGGCACTCGGCCATCGAACGTACGTAGTCACCACTCTTTGTCAGCTAGCGTTGCTGTCAAAGAATCGCCATTAGGCATAGTGGTCGTTACAAGGAACGCGTCTTCACAAGCCCCTCAACCACTGCCACCACAACCGCCACACAAAGTTTCTGCTCCGGAGCCCTTCGCGTTCGTATCTGAGGGGTGGACGACTTGGAAGAAACGATGGAACCGCCTCGAGCGTACAAGGAACGACCAAAGCAGGGGACGTAAACTGATTCGATTAAGTGATGTGACCAAAGATATTTGAAATTTCGGCCACCCTCACCTTCCTTGCGGGCGATACGAAAACATATCGTTGCTTTCTCGGCGTTGTAAAAATGTGCACCCGCTCACAGCGTGAATGAGAAGAAGCAGCAGATTCCATCACGGCACTGTACGTGAGAGCTGAGACGTACGACTACGGCAACCTCAAGGATGAGCTCCTTAAGGATCGCATCCTATAGTCGGTGACAGGTTTTCAGTGAAGTGGAAGCTCCTCCCATCTTTTTCCACTTTAGCAGAGTGAATGCTGGAGAAAGGTTGCCTCCTATCCAGCGTTCGCTCTCCTAAAGTTGAAAGTGGGGGAGCCTTCACTTTTTTCTTAACCTGTCACCTACGATAGTCGGTGTGCGAGACAAAGTCTCTCCGCCAAACTAAGATTGAAAGTGAGCTCAGTTTGGAGCGAGCGATGTTGCTGACAAAGCAAACGGAAACTATTGACCGGCAACAGGAGACTATCAAATAGTCTCTGGAGAGCGCGCCTGCTGAGGCAGAGCATGGGGAGGGGCTACAGGCGCCACAAAAAGAGTTAAGAAGTTTTACCCGAACAGTCCAAAAAACGACGTCGGTGGATCAGCAGCGAGCATCCCGGCTATGCTTTGGAGATGGGAATACAGTCAAGTAAGTACACAAGGCAGCAATCTCCCGACGCCAAAGTTCGATGCAACAAGTGCGCCAAGCAAGGCTTTTGTTATCAGTCTGTAAAGCGAACTCCGGCAAGTCACCAAGCTGAATGAAGGCACGTCGGCGGAGTCTGACTCCTCCTTAACAGAAATAATGGAGATTATGTACAAGAAAAAACCGCGGGTATCCAACGCCGTCGTTGGCGATGAAAACGTCGAGTTTCGCTTATGCATAGGGGCGGATGTTACCATGATTCCAACACGTTTACTGGCAAGGCTGGACATGAGGACAACTCCCTTACAGAAATGATCAATGAGTTTCAATTGAGTTTCTATTCAATTGAATGACTTTCAATTGGAACTCGTTTCAGTTTTTTGTAAGGGCTCTCCAGAAACCCGACATGCTCCTTCTTGAAAGAGCAAAGCAGCGGCTGGATATCGGGAGGGTTATGCAAACAAAAGTAGCATACAATGAGTAAAGTGTTTTTTCGAGCCTCTACGTAACAAAGCACTTGAACGAGCTTCTTCTGCACTTGGACCTCTTTGAACGTTTTGGTATCCATCGTAGAATGAGTAGAGCCGGAGAAAAGGTATGTTTGGGCCCAGTCAACGAGTTCCCAGAAGTAATCAAAGACTCGGGAGAAGACCCCTACGCTTGCAAAATCAAGCTGAAGTCGCCTGTGCAGCCCGTGGCAATCACGCCACGGCGACGTATCTCAGTTTCATTGTTCGAAGCTATGGAGCGTCAACTATGAAATGTTTAAAACTAAGAACTGATAGCTGCTTTCAGTGAGCCTGCCAATTTCTGCTCCCCAATTGTGGTGGTAACGAAAAGGTTGGTGACATACGCAGCTGTGTGAAATACACCATGCTGAATAGGAGCGTGCAGCAGGAATATCATTCAGTTCCAAGTTTGTAGCCAGTTCTGACTACTTTGGGACGAGCTAAGTACTTGTCCTATTGGATATTAACTTAGGCGTTTGTAAATTGAAACTGCAACCCGAATGAACACTGCTCACCACTTTTATCCCTCCAATTGGCCGGTTCAAGTATAACTGCCTCCCGTTCGGCATCTCCTGTGCTCCCTAAGCATTTTCAAAAATTGAGTCATCAACGCTTGGGAGATTTGGACGGTATTGTGTGTCAAATAGATGATATTCTTGTGTTGGAAAAGGCTCAGGAAAAGCCCGACAGGAGCCTGCGTGAAGTCTTGGGGAGAGTGATGGAGAAAGGGATCGCGGCAAACCGTGAAAAGTGCGTGCTCTCCCTCAAAACATTGAAGTTTATGGGACGTGGTCAACAAAACTGTTGTCATCGCAGACAAGGAGAAGATAGCGACCACCGTAGATATTCCTACGCCAACAAACTTCGCAGAACTCAAGAGTTTCCTGGGAATGGTGGATTTCATCGCACGGTTCATACCGAACCTGGCGATCGAAACAGGACCCTTGAGAGATCTGCCTCACAAAAATGTTCTTTTCAGTTGGGACAGCACGAACAACTTGTTTTTAACATATTAAGAAGCGCCTTACATCACGTCCAGTGGTCGCGCTTTACTGTCCAACAAAGGAGACAGTCTTGTAGACTGATGTCGTCGCCTATGCGTTGAAAACCCTGACAGAAGCATATAAGTGATATTCTCATATAGAAAAAGAGGCCCTCGCCATCACGTGGGCATGTTAGAAGATCAATGACTATCTAATCAGCCTATGATTTCCCATTGAAACTGACTATAAGCCATTCATGCTTCTCTTTACATGGAAACCGGTTGCTAAGCTTACACCAAGGCTGCAACGTCTGCATCTCAGGATAGAGAGCTACGACTAGATCATGCAACACGTGCCCGGCAAAGACCCGGCTGTTGCTGTTGCCTTGTCTCGTGAACCACTGCAGGGAAAAGACAGCTCACGCCTCGCAGTTAAAAATACCAGCTTTACTCCGGTTTCCAGTTCGCTTGACACCCTGCAGGTTAAAAGCCGCATGCCAGTCGCGCATGACTAAAACAGCCGCTTCGTCACTTCTCGCGGCGACAGGAATGACACCTTT